TCGTATGTTTTTCATTTTAACCGGCGGACCTATCTCTGCTGTTAAAAGCTGAGGTATTGTAGTTTTCCTTCCATCCTCCCTCCCTCTATCTCTCAACCTCCCCCTCCTTGTGGTGGCAAAGTTTAATATTCAGGTATGTATTGAATGTGTAGGATACATTTTTAGGTTAATTTTCTGCTGTGATTCATCTGGATTTTCTCTTAAATTTTAATTTCTGCTTGTTCTGTGGCTTCTAAACGAAGGACAAAATAGATGCAGCAGTGCAGGAACTCCTTCAGCTGAAGGCCCAGTACAAGTCTTTTGCTGGAGTAGACTATAAACCTGCCTCGATGACTGGCATTGAGGATAAAGATAAGAAAAAGAAAGAGAAGGAAAATAAGTCTGAAAAGCAGAATAAGCAACAGAAACAAAATGAAACCCCAAAGAAAGAATCTCCGAAAGAACAGTGTGCCAATGACCTCTCTTCAAATGGAGCAGGAGAAGGTCAAGGCCCTAAGAAACAGACCAGGTAAAGAGAGATTTGTAATCTCTATATGTGGAATCTAAATAGAGAGAAACTCAGAACAGTATTTTGGTTTTTGTCTTGTTTGGTTCTGTGGGAATATAGGAATATTGCACATTCTCATTAATATTGCACATAATTGGGGGGGGAACACTATCCTTATGTTTATTTTAGCCACCTGAAAATACAGCTCGCTTCCTGTTTTTAAGTTTATAAATATTGCATGTTATAGGTGGAGTTCCTGGAAAAGCAGGGAAACTATGCAATAAAAAAAATATGGATTCTTCCGTTTTTAAAGCCTGATGTTATGAAGAACTGAGTACGTCTTACATGATCTACTCTCCTTGGCTAGGAAATGACAACTCGGCGTTCTCCCAGATTCTATCATTATTGCTAGTATGCTTTGTTTTGGTGGCAGGGGGTCAGTCTTCCATCTTAAAGAGAACTTCTGATATGTTTGAAGCAAAAAGTAAGCCAGTGCACTGTTGTCTTAATGGTCTCGCAAATGCTAGTCCAAAGATAAGTTAGGCCAGATAGAAAATCGAAATTTAAATGTCCTTTTGAGCAGATCTGGGTCAGCCTCATGCTTGTCCATCTTTTTGTGGAAGTTTGGATTTGCATTGTGATGTCTTCTGAAGGGTTTAATGGTGGTGCAGGAGTTCACTGGCAAGATGTTGGAAGGATCTAACAATGGGAACAGACAGGCTGAGTTCATGTGAATGCAATAATCGGGCCAAAAGAAGCAAAAGTGAGCTAACATCGCTGGCAAAACTTTATAAGCAAACTGAATTTGGGATGGAATTTTTTGGAGGAGTGGGGGAA